AGAATGGTTTAAATTTACAAAATTTACAAAAAAATAAAAATCAAATTTCAATCGATCGGACAGCGGGAATCCATACCGATGGCTTGTTAAGGTAATTCTTTAGTAAATTGAATTACCCCATAGAAATGTCTAATTTTTTTTATATAATAAAGTTAAAGGATTGAATTTAATGTGTGTAAAATTCTAGGATAGGTTAACGATGAAATAAGAGAAGAAAAGAATGTTGAAAGTGTAACTTTTAACGATAGTTTTAACTTTACTTAATGACAGATAAGGATCGCTTCTTTAAGTAACTGCACATAAATATTATCATAGACTTTTCTCAAAATAGTTAGAGACACGTCCCTGGTGCGCAAGTGACACGCCCCTGGTTACGATCACAAATCTAACCGCAGTAAGTACCGCCCCTTTCTCCATGCTGTAAGAAAAGTAGAAGCTGTGGGACCATAGCATATCTATACGACATGTCGATCTCGGCGCGGTCTCGTAAATCACGGAGCTTGCCGCAATACACACTTTTGATGGCGTTAACCATCAAAAAGGACTTGGCGCGCGCGTGCGAAAATGGTGGCCACACAGTCATAGCCAACCATGGTGGTCCGGTAGTGGTCGAGGTTGGTCGAGGTCGACTATGCTCCATCGCCGCGCGCCGCCGCCGCTGCTGCCGCTGTCTATCGTCGTGTATTAAAAAGTGAATGTTGCATCGTGCATTGCCGCCGACATCGACACCGCCTCCACCATCACCATCACCACCGCCTTCGCGAACAAGCATGTCGCTTTCTCGACGGGCTACGAGGTCTGCGAGTGTCTGCATCCAAACGGAGCTCCATTATACTAACCCGCCTAAAAACATTCACCGGTTATCTCAACGCCGAGATTGTCCTTAACCCTCACTCGTGGAGACGATGCGGAGAAACGGCGATTATTTTTCTTTTTTTTTTGTTACAACCGCAAATAGTTAAATTGTTGTTCATAAAATGGGGTGAAGGAAGAATGCAAGGCTACCTTGATGTTTCAAATTGAATTATAGGATAGAATGGAGGAATGATAGATATTCTGCATAGGTCTTCTGTAGGTTAAGTAGAATTAATATAAAGCTAAAAGATATAATATCATGTATAATTGGAAACGAGCTCAAAGTTAACAGAAAGAATTGTAATAAAGAAAGAATAATCCGGTATGTAGAATGAAATTGTTCGGTTGTTTTAAGGGAATCATTTTAAAGGCATCTGTTTTACCGACTAATCGCAATAACTTTTGTACAACAATTATTTTTTCCCCTTCGAAAATTCTTTTCTAGAATTATTATATAAAAGTCAATGAAATTTTTTCTCTAATATAGTAAATACTTACATTTGCTCTTGTACAGTTTCATCAAAATTAACTACTTGTACAGTTTGAAAGAAATTTACATTTTCAATGAAAAATATATGTCAAAATATATGTCAAATAGACGATGCGTACATTAAATGAGCATCTTATAACATTTATTTTTACAAGATATATACCGTAAAGATATTTTATATATTTTCAATATATTTGATATACGTTTTGTGTATATCTTAAGAAATGAAAAATTTTCGTATTTGGCGCCTCTTGCATGGCGTAGACGATGTTTGCGCGATTGATCTTACGCGCATGTGCAAATTCGACTTAGTTATTAATAAGATTTTTTTCTATTATTTTAGCTATGGACTGGAGAGGAATCGTGCTGGCATTTCTAGTGGTGAGTAAACACAAACTGTTTCTTTTGCTGCGCACAAGAAAATTTACAATACCGAATGAACGAGATATTTTATGGGAATGTTGATGATGGCCGAATTTGATCGATGTCTGTAGTATAGACACTAGATTTAAAATTTTAAATTACGAATGTTGATAATAGTGATATCTTTAATTTATTTCTTACATCATCATTCTGTCTCACTCAAACGTATACATCAGTCATTATAATATACCTTATTATAATTGCAATACCACTTTTTGCAAAATCTGTCACCTATTTGACACAGTTATTGCTCTGTTTACTTATTGAAAGTTTTTATTGAAAGTTATTATTGAAAGTTTTTACTAATCACACGCGTATACATTACTTGATTTGTAAATCAATATAAATTATTTTTAAGCTTTTAATCTTAGATCTATAAACTCAATACTGTTTATTCACGTAATTCAGATGGTCCAATGTTATTTTATACTTTTACGAGCTTAAAAGAAAAGAGATTTAATAGAACTTTTCTAGAGTATCTAGAGAAAAAAATCGTCTACGTTAGGTAACATCTCTATGAGTTGAAAAATATGAATTTTTTACCTTTTTTTTTCTATTTCTGTATAAAATTCACTTCCCCACTTTCTAATTTCGCATCAATTTTAATTCTATAAAAGGATTTTTTATTTCGTTTAGTCAATTCAGAGATTTTTATACAACTATAATATATCAATAATTTCCTCATTACAGGATAAATATTTACAATAGAGGAGCACCAATTTCGATGACCTTAATCTTGATATACGTTATCAAGATCGTGACTCTAAATGACCTTCCAATAGATTTTAGTTAATATCCGTTATTTGTTAAAAAGTTATTAATAAAGTTATTAATAAAAAAAGTCGCAATTTTGACACAACATATGTCAAGATCAAATTTATTGCAACTAAATTTCTCTATTGTAAACATTTACCACTAAAACATTTTGAAGTCCGAGCATACGTCAATTTTGATTCTTTTATTTCTCTATATATGAAACTAAAAACACTGTTTCGTAACGCTTAAGATACTTTGGATTCATTTTGAAAGTTTCAACAAAAAGTAACGAAAATAAAGAAATGACAATAAAGAATAACAAAGGATAAGTTTCAAGGTTTCCATTGTTATAAAAGAGATGGGTGCTATCATCAATCTTAAATTAAAACCATATTTTCATGGAACAGAGTGTAAGGTCGGTATTCATATCAAGTCGATTTTAGTACGTATTATAATAGATTAGTCGTCTTTAGTCTTAAAATGTCACAAACCAATCATAGGATCGTATTAAGACATTACTTAAGATAATTACTTAAGATATTTTAAGATAAGTAATATCTTAAAATAAAAACCATGAATATCGACCTAGTCGGACATGAGTATATTTATACTTGTCCAGTTACTGAGACATTTACCTTAGGCGTGGATTAATGGTATTTGTAATGTACACACGCTTTCTATTGTGCGTGCTATACACGTGATATACGCGTGTTGCTTAAATATGTGGCACATTATATAATTCTTTGTTGGCGCATGACACATTTCAAAAAAGGTGTCTGAATGGTTGTTGAACTGCACAGGCATTAAACAGCCGCATTCTCAATACTCGATCAACGTGTTCGTCAATTAAAAATTTAACAGATAGATAAGTTTTTCGAGAAAGCTTTCGAGGGATTTTATGGCATATGGCAACGGAATATCAGTGCTTTTTTTCTGTCTTATCGCGCATCGGTGCGTGTCGTTGCTTAGTTTTTTAAATTGTCAACGGAAGAGTATGTTCGACCGATATTTATGTCTCTTTCTCTCTCTCTCTCTCTCTCTCTCTCTCTCTCTCTCTCTCTTTCTCCTCATTAAGTCAGGAGACACAGTAGTGTCTTGGCGCTAAACCAAGCGCAGCGACACTACCGTATTGATATCATTTACAGAAGTTCTTTAATTACAACGGAAATAGTATCGAAAATGAAAGTATAGAAAATAATTAAAATATAGAACAAGAATAAATTAGCAAATTTTATTTTATATAAATATAAAAAAAAAGAGAGATGAAGAAGAAATTTACTACTTACAATAAGAAAATCATTCAAAATTTGTATAATGCAAAATATATATTTTTTTATAGTGGCATTGGAAGATGGCATAAGTAAACAAGTATGGTAACGCAGATATTTGTTATTTAAATATGACTGTTTTACGGCGGTTTTGGAGGACTATGAGTACAGATTACGTCATTGTACTCACAATAGTCGTGGAATCGCTTTCCGGCTCTGGTGAAAAAAATTTCATTAAATCATCATAGAAGATCATGCGAATTGTTAGATTGAATATTTTGTATGACGAACAGAAGAAAAAATAAAAAATTCTCGTCTAAGACAAACACATTCCATTTCTCGCTGCAAAATATCAACGAATCGCTATTTAACGTGCTTCTTGCATTAGACATGATGAACCGCAAGAGATATCCAATGAAAGCTCTGCGTTTTTGTATGTGACAATATAAAATAAAATTCTTATTGGATACCGCTCATCACTCATCTCGTCCAGTGCGCAATAGAGGCATACGAGTTATAAGAGATACGACCTTACTCATCTGCAGACTCAAGGATTTACTGACGGAATCATTCGTTCCGATTAGAGATTGATGAAATCGTATATATGATCGATGTTGATATGATTGTATTTGAAAGACTCGCGTGGGCACTCGTAGTTTCGGAAGTCATCGCAATTAAGGGGATCCTAAAGAGAAGCCTGAATTCCAACAAGATCACTGTTTTGCCGATAAAATGCGACACATCTTTATATATTATTACAATAATATTCTCTCGCATACATATACATTTTCGTAGAACAATAATGTTTTAATTAGACGTCTAAGATCGATTCCACCAACGCAAATTAACTTTAATCTCGGTTCAACTTACTCTTTGTTTTTTTTTTAATTCTAAAGATTAGAAAAAGATGAAGAGTTAAACCGAGATTAAAGTTAATCTACATTGGTGGAAATGGGCATAAGTCTAATTCTAAGAACTCCATGTAAATTACTGTTCATGTAAACTACTAGTCTGTGGACCACAATTTCGCAAGTACAAATTGCAAAGCTTTTATATAAAGTAAATATAATATTAATTACGATTTTGACAGCTCTGATATTATATCTGGAGTAAGAAATTGTAATGATTTCAATTTAAACAATTTTTTTCGTACTCGGCGTAAATTCTATCTCATAGACACGTATTAATGCGTATATTTTGATCCGGGAAAAGGATTTTCAAATCTGTAAAAGAGGAAAAAAGTAATTGTTAT